ATAAACTCACAAAGTAGCTACTTTTTTCAGAAATTGAAGTGGTCACAAATCAATTAAATCAGGTTTGGATGGAAAATTAAGGCAATCAGACAAAGTACTTGATTTATTCTACAATTCTACAATAATGGATTTTCATGTTTCCAATAGTTATGAACAAAGTGGAAAGTTATTTTTTGTAATGACATTTTCGGTTTGTTTAAACACATCCTTAACCATTAAGACCTTCCATCAGATGATAATATGATCAAAGTAGGCATTGATTGATGCGGTGGGTTTCTTAAGATTTGTATGAATATTAGGGTTGTCCGCTATGCAAATTTTTTTTCAAAACATCTCACAGTGGAAAAAAAGGTCTGTTTTAGATCAAAAATCAATAACTTTTTTATAACTAAAGATAAAATGTTGAAATTTTGCACAAATATAGAGTAGTATATGGGGCTTCTAAGAAAATATTTTTTATAAAAAAAAATTGAATATAAAACTCGTAAATAAAAATCAAAAACCTCAAAATTTTTTTTTTTTTTACAAAAATCAATAACTTTTTTGTTACTAATGATAAAGTGTTGAAGTTTTGCACAAATGTAAAGAAGTCTATATAAAACTTTTAAATAAAAATCAAAAACCTCACGATTTCATTTTTTTTTTTACTTTTAACTAAACATATTCTTCTTGATTTTATTTAAAAAATTTAAAAGTATTAGAAACAACGAAAAATGCTTGTTTATTTAAAATATATATTAATATTATATTTATATAATAAAAAAACATTTATACGAGCTTTTGGATAATCTCTAGACAAAAAAAAAACGTTCTTTTAATCTTTTAAACAAAAATTTTCCTTATATTAGGTTTAATTGCTTTACTAATTTGATTTTTTAATAGTTGCCTGTAATTAATTATTTTGCATATATTTAAACATTTACATGATTACATGACATATATTTTCAAGAGTTTACAAAATGCTTATTATAGCATTATTCAGGATATTTTATTATTAACAACTTTTATACAGTGAAAGTCGTCATTCAAAAGCTGCAAAGTATTTTCATCGAGTTCTTGGACAATTTTGTTGTACAGTTTTCTAATGCTGATGATGTAGGGATCAGAAGTGTACAGAAGAGAATGAAATACGTCCTCATTTTTAGCTAATCTAGAATATTTCCTGGCATGATGAAAGCAAATTTTTTTATAATCTTTAATACAGAATTTTATAATCTTTAATAAGGAATCTTCTGAAAGTTGCCTGATAGGCAGTACTGCAAAATGTTTTAACAAATATTTAAAATTAGCATATGCTAAAAATTATGCTAAATTAGTAGGGTTCGGCAAATGCATCTGCGCAGATCTGCGCAGACATAATATGCGCATATCTGCGCAGACGTCGGCGCCGACGTCTGCGAAGACAGTTTGAAGGAAACGAAAAATTTAAATTATGATAAAAAAATTACTTCAGACATTTGATTCAGATAAATTAATTACCTGAATCCAATGCCTGAAATTAATTATTTTTTTAAATTTAATTTCAGACAATATTTAATAAAATAATTTCAGACATTTTGAAAAACTCGTAATAAGTAGGTAATTATTTACTTTTTAAGAGTTTTTCATTACTAGTCTGTTTCTTTTTTGTTCGAGCTACATATAATCAACCGATATAAACTTTTTAAAGTGTTTCTTACTACAATTTAAAGTGATTTAAAATAAAGAAATCGCGTATTTTTGTCATAACAAATGTTTAAAATGGAAAACATCAAAATTTCGAATTATTTGACAAAACTTGATCGAGGGAAGCGTTCTGGCACTTGTTTAGCATGTAACAAAACTGTTTAATGGTCGAAGGAACGCCTTGCAGCGCATAAAAGATCAACATGTCAAAACGCTAGTGTCGAGGAAAAAAGATTGTTTTCTAAGTGTAATTATGAATCGTCACATCTGATCAATGACTCTCAGCAACATCCGTCTACGTATGATTCACCGATGCAGTGTGTACATCCACCGATTAATGAAGAGCTCAAAAATGATATCGACACGAAGCTTGCAAATTTCTTTTACCGTACAAGTATATCATTTCGTTTAGTGGAATCGGAGGTCTTTAAGGATTTTGTGAAGTTGTTCAATCCATCGTACGCATCTGTCATCCCGAAAGCTAAAGCCTTATCAGGATCTCTGCTTGACAAACAATACACAAAATGTTCTATTTATGTAAATGAAATTTTGAATTCTGAAACAAACTTAACACTGATGTCTGACGGCAGGACAAACATAAGAGGCGATCACATAGTGAATTTTTGTATTAAAGCGCCCGAGCAGAAGCCTTTTTTTTACACCTCGATAAATACATCCGGAATCATTTAAAATTCATCTGCAGTTGCTACAGCAATCTTACAAGTTATTGAGAAGATTGGCTCACAAAAATGTACCAGTTTCATAAGCGACAACGCTCCTGTAATGAAATCAGCGTGGAGGATCATCGAGGAGAAATATCCACACATCTCAGCTAGCGGATGCGGAGCTCATGGAGTCAACTTGCTTGTGACAGACATAGTTTTTACAATTGAGGCCACTAAAACAGTCAAAGATGCAGAGAAAATCATCAAATATGTGAAAAATCATCAAATCGTGAAAGCAAAGTTTGATGGAAGACGAATTGCAGCAAATATTTCTCTTTCATTGTCCATGCCTGTATCTACACGATGGTTTAGTTATTATAAATTAATGAGCAGTCTCCAGCTATCAAAATACTTTCTTATTAAGTTGGTAGACGAAGAAAGTCCATTACTGAAGGAAATTCAACCAAAGAATACATCTGCTGCTGTTATGGCGTTGATAATATCTAACCCATTTTGTGACCGTCTCTCTAAGCTTGTCAAAAGCATTGAATTTTCTTCCAACGTGATCTGAAAGCTAGAAAGTGATACAGCTTCATTGTCTCTTGTGTATGATTACTTTGGTCAAATGTACCATTCATATATGGACGATAAAAACATACAACAAAAAGTGCAATCTCGCCTCGATTTTCTCTTTACACCATGTATTGGACTTGCTTTCATATTAACGCCCAAAAATACCGCAGAAGGTTTATATTTGAATAAAGATAAAACCGATTTTATCACTGCTACAGTTGAATTCGCCAAAAAGAGCAAACCTGAAATTGCTGCCACTGCTGAGGATGAATTGATTGCTTATATAGGAGAAATTTTTGTGCTGCCTGAGAGAAGAAAGGAAACAATATTCAAGATGAACTCGCGAAACTATTGGAACATTATCGGTCGCGATAAATATCCTGCTCTTTATGATATTGCTAAGCCTATTAACGAAATGATCTGCTCATCGGCTACAGCAGAAAGATCTTGGTCGACCTTTTGATTTATTCACTCGCGACTAAGAAATCGTCTTACAAATGAGAGAGTTGAAAAGCTAGTATTCTTGTATACAAAGAGCGTGCTGATGGACACAAATGACAAGATTGATTACATTCTTGAAGAAGGTGCAATTCTCAATGAAATTGAATGTCAAGAAATCACCGAATAGGCGCCAGCATTATATATTTTTATTACTGTAAGAATTTTTGAAAACTCCTGTTGTTACTAATCACTGAATTTATAATAAAGTCAAAAGATTACTTAAAACCTTTTTTAAGTTTAAAACTTTTTTTGTTGATTTCAATAAATCATCAGTAATAATAATATCTGCGCAGATCTGCGCCGAGAGACGAACCTTAGTATATTTTATCAGTATTAATAAATTTTGTCGGCGCCGACGTCTGCGCAGACAAATTACAATGTCTGCGCAGATCTGCGAATGTCTGCGCAGATCTGCGCCGACAGTTCGAACCCTATAAACTAGCATATGCTAAACTTGCTTCTCTTTATCGTGCTCATCATTTTTTATTTCCTGATTCCAGGAATTCTCTAAGAGATTCTCTACATCTAGAATTCTCTAGAAATTCTCTACCTCTACCTCTTCCATGAAGTAAAGTTTTTTGTTATGAAGACGACATAAAGTACAAGCTATAATTACTGACATAAATGTGGGCAGTTTCTATAGCATATGTCCCGAAACTTTTAGCATTTATCATAACACCTGAGGAGAGTTTGTAGAATTATGTAAAGTCAATTAACCCTATATTGCACACATTATGAAAAATGAATAGAAAAAAATGTGCATGCTTTTTTTTCAACATAAAACACATCTAAAAACATTAAATTTTTTTTTTTTTAAAGTATGTATTCAAAAGGTCTTTTTGGTCTTTGTTTCTTTAAAGAAACAACGCGCAATAGGTTGGTCTTTCTTTATTTGACTTATATCAAAAAAATTTCCTAAACAAATTGACACAAAAACCATAAACACACTCATAAACATTCAAAGAATTATACACTAAGAACTGGAAAATTATTCAATTAAAATACCACAAAATAATATATAAAAGGTTATAATTAAAAAACGATAAAGAATAAATTATTCAGTGTGAAAGCGTTTGAAACAGTTGGATCTGGCTGTAAAACACAAATTAACTTGGCACTTTTCGCAAATAACTCTGGTTATCATTTTGCAATCGCCATTTTTGCAACGTCCCTTTTTCCCATGAGGCATAAAGTTTGCCCAGTGATGCAAACCATCTGTTCAAATGGCAAATACTGGGACTGAAGCTACTAGACCACGTGATCTTTTTGTTGTTAATTCCTGTTCAACATTTGATGATGATGGACGTCCTCTTTTTGAAGGATTAGCTTTACCTTGTTGCAATAAACAATTTGAAATTTGCATCTTAAATTCACGCAGTTTCAAGATCTTAGTAGTGCCAGAAACACATCTACGGTATAAAATCCAAGTTTGAACAATGACCATATCAAAAAAATGAAACAACAACTTATGATACCACTTTTTAGATCTTATCTGGATTCTATAAAGACCCATCAATAAATCTAGGAGGTCCACACCACCCATAAACTTGTTGTATGTGCGTACAACAGAAGGACATTTTACTTTAATTTTTTTGTTTAACTTTTTATCAAAGCGCTCGACTTCTGTGGAGGGATTGATGCTCTCATATATAAAATTACACAACGATTATCGAACCATTTTATGGCACGTAGTTCTACTCCATCAGAATCTGTAGTCCACAGTTCAACTGAACCTCTACCATCCTTTTTCATATCCTTATCAGATGACATTTTACAGTTTAACAGACGGTTTGAACGCACTGTTTCTAAGCATGTATTTCCTTGAGTATGTAGTAGTTTTACAAGGGGTAAACTTGTATACCAGTTGTCAAAATAAAGTTTATGCCATCTTTTTCGAGGTATATTTTGCAGAAGGATTAAAACAATATTTCCAGAAGCTTTAAGATCTGGTTGATTTGGACACGTGCCAATAGATCCTGTATATATTTCAAAATTATGAACCAAACCGTCAGTTTCAGATAGCACATACAGCTTATAACCCCACTGTTTGGGCTTTTTTGGGTTATATTCCTTTAAATTTGACTTTCCTTTGAATGGAACAATTTGTTCATCAATGCAGAGTTGTTCATATGGTCTTAGCTGAACAAATTTATATTTTAAATAATCAATCACTGGACGAATTTTGTATAGTTTATCGGAGCAATTATCTTGGCGGCTTAAATTATCACTGCATTGCAATTTGCTTTTAATTTTTTCAAAGCGTTTTAAAGTCATAACATCTGCAACTTTGTTAAAGTAGAACTCTTTACTCCAGTACATTCGAGTGCTAGGCATTTTCATTAAGCATGTAGCAAACAATATCCCAATAAACTGTTCCAACTCTGCTCTTGTTATTTTCAAAGGGTCATTTGGATTGCTTTGAACAGCATATTTGTTAGACTCGTTTACAATTATATCAAGTAGTTCATTTGTGATAAATTTCCTAAAGAAATATATTGGCTCGTCATTGTCAGGATCATTTTCATACTCCAATGCTTCAAACTCCATTTCTAGTTTGGTAATAGTATTTGGATTTTGTTTTTTCCGAACCAACTTATCTTTGGCCTTATTGCTTTTTTTTTGGTATTTTCTACGAGAGCAGCTATTTCATCATCACTACTGCTATCTAAGATTTCTTCCTCTTCTTCAATTTCAATTAAATCAAGCATCTCGTCTTCACTATCACTTAACAAGTCACTTTCCTCTGAAACATCAGGGGCTGGTATATCTCGTATAACTTGTGTCGATTTTCTGCCAATGCTATAGAAATTTCTAACATTCATCTAAAATGAAATAAATAAATTATTTACTTGATTATTATAGCTAAACGGATGTTGTTGCTTTAAAGAAACAAACTAAATTTAAGCTGTATCTAAAAACCAAAGTTCAATGACTCAAATAAAAATAGACAATTCTAATGCCTAATCTTAAAAGAATTTATGATAAAAAAATCAAAAGCATACCTTTCATATAATTCATTAAATTTTCAAAAGCATATGAACAATATCTTTAACATCACGAATTTAAAGCAGGTTTTAGACTTTTTGCAATATCTTTTAGATTTTATGAAACCAGCGATTGTTTTTTTTTGCGCATTTGCCTCGTTTTAATGTTATACTTTACGAATATATTAAAAATGGCTATGTTTCTTTTAATTAACACTGTGAAACCAAGTAAAATACACTGTGTTTCTTTAAATATACAAGGCGCAATATAGGTTTAATCATATTTTCATTTACTCCAGTGATTTCAAAAGAGCAGCTTGCATTGTAAAAAAATCTCCTAGCAGTATTACCATTATTGGTATTACCACTTACTTGTTTTGGTTTGTTGACGCTTCTGTATCAAGGTATTCTTTTGTTTCTTTTGTAGTTTTTTTTCTTCACCTTTAGCTGAACATGTTTAGAAAGACAGGTTGTAGGAAATATGTAATATCATTTCCATACACCGAATCCAGGCATGTAATATCGACAGTCCATATTGATACGAACTTTCATTTTCAGGCCTAGCAGACACTTTAGTCAAATCATTCATTTGTCGTGGAGTAGCTCCACATATTGTACATGTAGACGCAGAAGGCGTATCCGTTAATACCTGAGCCAATTTTCTATATATCATTGTTAAAAAAAGTTCATGTTTCACTTGTATTCCTTTACAACTTTTGTTAATTATAGATGGCTGTAAAGAGTATATTTGGCTTTTTATTTCATCTACAACAATTTTAGTTTTCTCTGGAGTCTCTTTGCAAAATCCTATGCATATAGGTCGACAAAAACGTCCAGATAAAGAAGCCGGATTTTGCCAAACAACTGTGCCAGTTACTTCATCAACTAATTTGATCGGCACCAAAGAACTAATTAATAAATTCGCATCAGAAAAAGTTCAGATTCCATCGTTTCTGCTTGTACTCGCTTTGACCAGAGGAGCCATCGCAACCCCATTTACTTTAAAAAATTAATTGTTTAAGGTGGTAGACTGCTAAAAAAAAATTTTTTTATCTGACATTATTCCAATTGATTTTCTCATTTTAAACACGATAAATAGGATTAAAAAAAAAAAAAAAAGTTTTTTTTTTTTTCCTCTTTCTAAATTTTGGGCAAATTTAAGTGTTTTTAGGCCTAAAAAGTGCAAAGTACTTGGAAAAGATATCTCAAAAAGTAAAATATATCAAGTCTCAAAATTTTACAGTTGTGTACCTTTTAAGTAGATAAATGTCCTGAGATAAACAAAAAATTTGAATTTTTTTCAATTTCGATGCACCATAAGCTTTTTCTATGCGTCTAAATTTAGGCCAAATTCCTGACCCCAAAACAGCCCAAAAAATTTAATTTTAATTTTTATCCAAAATTTCTTTATCTCAGGACATAAAGCTCATAAAAATGAACATCTGTACAAAATTTCAAGTCAATTGGACAAATACAGCTCCCGCAATCTTATCCAGAATATGAAAAACTTTACAACAGAGAAAAATGCAAATAAAACTTTATATTTTGAAAATACAAATATATTAACACTTGAAAACAGGTTAAAACCCCCCCTTTTCATATAATGTTCCTTCTTCATCATTGTGCTTATCATCAAACCCCTTCCTTGTTGCTCTAAGCTTTTTTCTTTGTTTTTTAAACTTTTCAGATGATTTTGTGTCCATAAGCTTTTCACGTAGCACATCACTATTTTGAAAACCGTTTTTAGTAAAATGTCCTGGTAAAATTCCTAAACTGTGAAGAACATCTATCATACCAGTTTTACCATCATTAAACTGTATGACAGCAGATGCAACACTAATTTTAAGTGTTGACCTCCCACGTACACATTTTTTGGGCATTTTGTCCAAATTACATTATTGAGCGATTCATTTGCATTCTGTGTTTCTCCATCAAGACATCTTTTTAATAACTTGTTTGCACCAAGATCTTTGTGTGAAAAAATAGGTTTTATAATTTCACAAACAGCTTCTGGAATGTTTATACTGTTTTTATAAGTCAAAGTTTGATTAATCTTGTCCCTTTGATATTTACACCACGAATCGCTAGTACGAGGACAATACTTATGGCGTTCTTCATCGCTGCTGCTTTCAGAACAGTGATGAATTAGTCCTGCTATGGATTTTTTCATGCCATACAAATTCCCTTTGTTTTGTCGTATACTCATACCATAATAGTTTTGCAATGTATTAATGACTTTATTGTCATTCTTCCTTTTCCAGTAAGTCTTTTACCATCTTTTAAAACTTTTCCCTTGTACAATACTTTAAGAGAGCGTAAACGAGACCCAACTCTTTTTTGAACATGACTGACACATTCACTTTTTTCAATTTTATACCCTGGGTAAACATTATTACTTTCTATATTTTGGTAAGACTTACTGTCACCATCACCACAGTATTTTGTATAACGCAGTTTGTTAAAAACAGTTGATCGTTTAAATATTTGCAATGCCCCAATAGCTTCCATTGCACCTGCACTACCTTTGTGATTAATTGGGCAAATATGTGATTCTACCCAGTCATTGTATCCCGGTATATCTTTGTTTCTCTGCGAATATTGGCAACTTTTAAAATCCTTTATGAGAGTTTGAGTGTCAACACACTTCCCATTACTAATAGCTGTAACAACACCGTTCAGCGAGAAAAAACCGCGTCGCTGCCACGTTCCATCAACACTTACAGTAACATTTTTTATATCAGGGTCACCAATAGTAGACTCACTTGTACGTTGTGCTTGTGCAGCTGCTCGCTTCATTGAATCTTGGGCAACTTTGATATAAGACGAATGCAATTTATAGACAATGTTATTGTATGTTTTTTTTTGCATTGGTGGTGGACTGTTTATTATGTTACAAAAACTTTCCATTGCAGCATAACCTTTTCCAATTTCTCTGAAAGCTACACACATTCTGATATTAATGTCAAACGATTTCATGCCTTGTGTTTCATTATCACTGTTTTTTTCAATTTTTTTTTGAGGTAAAAAACTCATTTTGCCATTGACATTTTTTTGCAGAGCAAGACAAAACAAGTTGATGTGAAAATCCTTTTCTTCTTGATAAATCATTATTCAATTTTATTAAAGATTGGCATTTTGGACAAGAACCAACAAGATTTAAAATTGAACTCAAGACATCAGAATTAAATACAATGTAACATTCAGGATTACTATCTTGACTAATACTTGGAGTATCAGAAGTAGGTAAATTTAACTTTTCAGCAGATGCTGATTTGCTTGAAGAAGTATTTGTTAGAGATGTATTATTTGATGTATTATTTGAACTTGAAGAAGTATATTCAGAAGTCAAGTGAATTTTATTCGCAAGTAATCTATAACATTTACGTTTGTTGCTTTTAGACTTATTTCTTCTTTCTGCAGATAGAAGAAATAAGTGCAGAGTTGATAGTATGCACTTTAATCGAGTTTATATATAGTAATAAACCAATTCAACAACGTTGTTCTTTCACACCATGTTATTTAAACATAGAAAAACAAAAAACAAAGAAGTAGCTATTGGTTTGAGTGCTTAGATTTTGTAAAATTTAGTTAAAATTGCCTTATTTTGACGTTGCTATGAGCGTTGCTAGGGGAAGCAAAATCACCCTACTAAGTTTAAACTTTTTTTTTAGGCCTTTTTATGTTTTTTTGTAAAATGATATGTATGTTTTTAAAAACAGCAATAGTTAAAGTTTTTAACTAATCAACTTTTGAAAAACTACTTTTTTCAATGTTTTTTAGCAGTCTACCACCTTAAATTTATTATTGTTTATGGAATCTATAGTCAAAATTCTATCTACAGTGTAATCCAATAAATATTGCAGTTTCATAAGTTTTGCATGTGTTCGTAATTTCTGTTGCAGAAGATGGTGGATAGCAAGTTTGTTTAATTTCTTGCAACTTGTAATATGGTGGGAAAAAGGAATAGTGTTTTTCGTCTGTCAACTTCCTCAAGTATAAATATTTTGCTTTAGTTAAATCTGAATCAACAAACACGCTGAGTACTTCTTCATCTGTCAGTAATACGTTTGTGTTCTTCGTAAAACTTGAGACAGAAACCTTTTTTTCGTTTTCGGCAATCCTTAATGCTTCCACAATCTTTGCTTCTGTTTCTTCTCCTATTGAGCGTAATGCCTCAAGATATGCATTAAAGATATACTTGTCTCTGACAAATCTCTATGAGACATGCACGGTCTTCCACGTTTCTCAAATGATGTAAATGGCGTGGGGTCTGTTATTGCGTTTTTTGATTTTGGTAAAATTACACTATATTCCGAATCTAACCAGTTACTGTTGTTAGATAAAAAAGCGTCCATTTTCCGAGACGCCTTGGTCCATCGTTTATTGAACGACGGAATAATGTTCCTTTGAATATCACTAACAATGAAAGACAAGCGATCCTGAGAAACTTGATAATTTTCTTTTAAAATTATTGATAGTGTTTCCGCTGCTCTTCCTCCATCAATATAGGAAAGTAACAGTTGACGTTTCGAACACTTAAAACTTTTGTTATAAACAGTCTGA